TTGTGCCCCCCCAGCCTGCTGGCTGGTGGGGTGGGGTGAGGAGCAGAAAAGGCCTTGACTCTGTGTCAGCACTGCTCAGCAGTAACGAAAACATCCCTGTGTTATCAGCACTGTTTCCAGCACAAATCCAAAACACAGCCCCATGCTAGCTACTATGAAGAAAATTAACTCTATCCCAGCCAAAACCAGCACACTGTTACAGGGTCCACATGCTGTAAGGAAATCTAGTCTAGTTTAACTGTACTATAAAACTAATTTTGTTGAGGAAGAAACCAAGGCAGCTGTTACATTATAACAACTGAGGTAACAGTAACTGCCCCTACTGCAAAGGCTGTTTCCCTACAGGAAGCACCAACTTCCCTGCAGGAAGCACTAACATGTTTGCAGCCTCGTGGTTCCAGCTACAGTGATGTCTAAAAAAGAAAAAATAAAAATACTCTGGGGAGAATAATTTAAGCAGTTGTGCATGGGCAGCTGCACACTCCAGTCGTGGTTTTATAACAAGAAAAACATTTTCTTCCAGCCATATATAAGTAGAAACCACATCCATTAACTGATCATCTCTGGGTGGCTCAGGAATAAAGGAGAGCACTAAAAAGTGACTTGTAACAGGAAATCAATCACTGTCTGTGATGTTCATGTCACTAACAAAAAATCAGGATTGTCAGAGGCTTAATCATACACTAGCCACAGCTCTGCAGTGTAGACGGGACCCCGCACCAGTTTGGGGTGCAAAGCTAAGATTCAAGAGAAATGATCTGCTTTCTAATTTTGCAACTGTTTGCTTTCATTGAAAAGCTGTAATCTAAAATCTCTTTGCCTGAGAAAAATTACAGATATATCTTTTGCAAATAGGAACACAACTTTTGAAATGTTAATAATTTTATCCTGAAATTTTAGACTATCCCAACATAATAGTTCAGGTGCCCACACTTAAAATGTGATCAGTCTGGTCAGGTTCAATTAACTTCGAACCTTCAAAGGCTTAAGTGATCCAGCAGACAATTATTTTCACTGATCCTCACAGTCTTCAGCAACATCAAGCAGCTAAGGCCCTCTGTCTTAAGCAAGGAAGATTAAAGAAATGGCATCTTTCAATTTGAAAGCACAGAGAGACAATCTGTGCTGTTCGTCTGCAACCTGTCAATATGTTTGCATGGCTGTTTCAGTAGCCCCCTGGGATCTTATTCCTACTTTAACTTTGCAGTTACTGTTGCAACACAGCTACATTAGCGTCAGTACCTCCTAGGCTTACTTTGCCCCGCTTGCTGCACTTCTACCTGTATCATGAGATGCTGGTCTGAGAGGCTAAAGACACTCTAAGCCTCTCTGAAGGATTGCTCAGGGAAATGGCTGGGTTTGAGGGAAAGAGTACCATTTTGAGACACAGGACAAATGCATATATTCTGCTCACAAGGGGAAAACAGCCAGAGTCAGAGGAGAGGTAAGTAAATGCAAAATAAAAAAAAAGCAAGCCCATATGTTAAATGTGTGCTTAAGCATTTTCAGTGATTAAACTCTTTTGAGGGGATTTTGAACATTTTTGCCTTTTAACAATTGTGTACCTTCCTGAGCCATTCCAGGCAGAAATATCTTGCTTCTGTGGAATAAATTAGCTGAACTTGACATCAAATAGATGGTTATTTCAACAGCAATCCCACTTAAAGACCACATGCAGTGACAGATATTGTACAGAAGCAGAGTCAAAACACTATCTCAAAGAGCTCCCCCTCTGAATCAGAAATGGGACCTTGTAAGTGGCCAAGGAGGGAGAGAAGGGTGGATGGAAGTAGAGAAATAATAGAAAAGTTACTCACACAAAAGCTGTCTGTGTGAATCAGTGATGTTTGCATTCTCATGCCAGAAGGGGTTTATCAAAGGGTAACATTCACTCCTCACTGATAGAGAAAGGAAAAAACAATGAGAAAAAAGCACACTATAATATCTTATTGCAATATGTCCTCTTTTTTTTTTTTTTGCATGTACATATAATTGACATAATATTATCTGCTTTAAAAACAGTCGTTCCTAGGTAGGGAAGGAAAGGAGGGCCAGCTTCCACTCCCGTGCTCCCGCTCCCGTGGGGCCTGACCACTGAAGCCAAGAGGGAAACATCTGCCCATTTCAGTGGGGCTCAGGGTACAGCAAAGGGGAGAATTCCCTTAACCTGCTCCTTCTCCCCTGCTCCACTGGAAGTAACAACCTTTCTTGCCTATGACGAACATTATTTGCTCCTTGTTTTTAAGGGTGGAATCAAAACCAAAAGTAATATGCCTGGCATACAAGTTAAACTAAATGGGGAAAATCCTATAATATCCACATAGGGTTTATGGATCTTTCATTAAAACCCAGAACTGTGAAATACCAAGCAAGATCAAACGCTGCACAATTACTTGGTGAACTTGGTGAGCCTTTAGCCACTTACCTTTAGTTAGTATGGGATTAAGTTAATTTTATGTCAAAACGAATAATATTTATATTGATATCATTTATATCACTATTACCTATATTATTTATGTATATAAACTATACCTTGTATAGTATTTATATTGTTATTCTTTATATTATTATTTATGATTATTATTTTATTGATTATTGTTATGATTATTATTATTATATTGAATGGCTTTAACCCAGAACTTTCGCCCCTTAATTCCCCCTGAGTCAGATGAAAAGACATCTCTTTCCTTCTAAATGGCTGACGTTTATTAAATTAGTTTGAATTAAAAGTTAATGTAAAATTAGGTTACAGTAGCAGAAAATTCGCTGTCCCCATGTCTCCTTTGGCAAATAATACAAGAGATACTCGACAAAGAACCGCCGATGGGTAAAGAGCACCGAACGGGGAGCCGACTGCTTTTCTGAACA